AAAATAGAAAGATTGTACAAGTTATACCTTTCGTCACCACTTTGTGGAAAATCGTTAGATATGAATATGTTAGATACCCTGTGACTCGATTGACGAAGGTGAAATAGTATCTCTCTCCAAAAAAGCATGTTTTTTTTTACCACCGGACGAAGAAAATATTTTGTTGTGAATGAACAAGATAGTGAGGAATTGTCCATACGTAAAATCAGAATTATTGAGACGGGCCTTTTACACGCATGGTACGTCATTGATATACAAAAAAAAAAACACATACGTTGGGAGTGCTCCTATCAGCTGTTGCAACTGCAAGTTCCAAATATAGACGAATCCAATCATTGTCTTGCAACTCTAATTTCTTCACCTACAATAAAAATATCACCACTTAATTTGGTCATGACAGCAAATCAAAACCGAAAAGTGTGTCTGAATCTTACCACGTAAAATCGCTTTGTATCATCAAAAGCATTCTCTAGCGGCCATTGAGGCAAGCACCCTATGTAGAAATCATCCAACAGTGCGTAATCGCCGCTTTTGATGACCTCCTTAGTTCCTAATACAAGATTGAAATCAGCAAATGAACTTGTATACAAAAAAATCAACAAGTCATCACACACTTACCTTGAGGTCTAGCAGCACAGGATGTCAGTTCAAATTTGCCAAAAGATTTTTCACCAAGACTAGTCTGAAAAGTTAGATCCTCAGATGTGGTTGGATCATTTGCAATCAAAGTTGTGAAGTAAGAGCAAGCAGCTGAACCCATGCTCTTATTGTAATTCTTTACGAATACTGGTATCAAGGCATCGAACTCCTAATAAGACACATTAGTCAAGAAAATATACGTTACTATTTAACAGAATACGGAACCCTAGAAGAAGTTTCTTTGAGTTGCCTCTAGCAGTTACGTGTGAATTAAGAAATAGGGTTTGGGTTAGGGTTAGGGTTGTGACAATTCCACTGGAAGGAACACTAGTCTTGATGATTAACAAACCCTAAAATCATGGATAAATTCGGATACATGAAAGAATAACCTCGGATTCCGCCACTTTTTCCCAATACAATTTCGAATAACGACCATCGTCGAAGCGACTCATCTCCCTCCTCGTCTAGGTTGGTTTCAAGTTTCGGTGGATGCGAGCGGCTGATGATGCTTCTTCTCCACGCGATTATCGGCAGAATTCATTTATGGGCTTAATTTGGGCCTTAAATAATCCAAATCTTAATAAACCTGTCATTGTAGAGACATAAATAATCAACCCCTGGAGGGATCCAGTCACTTTACTCCGTAGAAACTAACTTGTTCAATTTCAAACCAAGATCACCAAATTTTGATACACAAATGCTAGACAAAATATAGAAGCTAAGGAACATGTAGAAAAGTGTGAGAAGGAGATCATGAGATTCTTCGTTTCCTCAATATGGCTGTTCTATTTGATGAGACAGGAGCAACAGATAAGCCTTGCTTGTGTGCTTCAACCATTGAATACACCTGCACTCCAAAATTTGTTCCTTGTCAACAATCAATCACATCCAAGGATAATCTTTTTCTATGATTTGAAGACGGAAAAGGAGGTACCTTTCTAACAGCCGATGTCAGTCCCATGGTAGAAAGAACATCACTTCCCACACACTTCCATGTTAGAGTGTCCTTTGCCTGACCTTTGAACAGATCTTTGGTTCCACCTGTAACTTCATGTCAATTTTCTAACTATATGTAAAAGAGAGACCGAGAAAGAAAGAGATAGATAGTGGTCAAACCTGTAAGTTGTACAACTAATAGCTCCACATAAACTTTTCGGCGTATGTGCGTGAAGACGTGGACGAATTCTCCAAGTTCTTCTCTTGAAACTATAGTGCATGTTTTCTTCGGTTCTACATGAAATGCTTCCTTAAGGAAGAGGTTGATCGCGCTCCTCCTTGTTGGCGAATCAGCTTCCTCATCCAATATAACAGATGGGAACTCCCAAAGACCAGCAAGCAGACCTTGTTCGGGTCTCTTTACAAGAACAAATCTACCTCCTGATTGGTTCCTCTCAAGATTCAGTATCTCCAAAACACATACGCAACAAAAGTCGCGCCTTGGCTTGGCCTTGATCACTTTTGTAGGATAATCCGTCACGGAAATCGTTCTGTTTTCCTCGGAAAGTGAAAATGCACGACATTGGCTGGAAACAGGACAGGAAGAGCAACTTGGCTTTGATACAGAGCATAGAGTCGCACCAAGCTCCATTAAAGATTGGTTGAAATCTCCAGGACGTGAAGGATCCACTAGCTGGGCAGCTAGTTTCCTGACAAAGATAAATTAATTGTTTATCCTCTCTTTTATTATTGTCACAATAGCGAAACATCCGAGCAAATGCAAAAGTTTTTTCACCAGAAATTCCTGGCCGTAAGCCGGTCTTTTGGATTAGCAGAGATGGCCTTTAATCTGGCAAGCACTCTAATCACGTTTCCATCAACGACAGGTACTGCCTGGACAACAATAAGTGCAAAAAGAAGTAAAGATTATTACTTATATGTTTTACATATATGACTGAAAAATACAATACTGACTCACCTCATTGAAAGCAATTGAGGCAATTGCTCCGGCTGTATACTCTCCTATTCCTTTAACTTTCATCAAGCTAGATGCTTGATTAGGAAAACCATCCTTCCCTGCAACAACCATCTTTGCTCCCTACGATAAGCAAGACAAGAAGAAGGCATTACTACGATATTTAATGAACGTATCAACTAGTGTCAAACTCCAGATCGCAGAAGAGTATTTACCTCTAGAAGAAAACGTGCCCGCCGATAGTATCCCAAACCTGCCCACATTTCGTTTACCTCCTGCAGCGGGAAGAAGTCAATTTGTTTAGCAGCAATAAGCACTTTTATTTTTCCCATTCCCGTGAAGAAAAACAAATCACAATGGTGTGGCATTTGAAAAATAGAAACTAATAGAGTACTTATTTCCCTACTAATGAAGGGAAAATGCAGAGCAAACTCAAGAGGATTAAGCCTTCACTTCCCAGTTATTACACATGAAACAGGATTCTCTAACACAGTCTTTACCAAAGACACAACCACAGAGGGAATCAAATGGGACACAGTTATAAGTAGGGTGGTATATTCTCAATTTCCCACATCGTAAGATCGAAAACAGAGACACTCATTATTAATGAGCCAATTTGCCAAAACAAAGATAAGCAAGCTCTTTCTTCATCTTATCTTTTCCCATTTCCTGAAGAAAACAAATTCAATCGTGTGACATTAACTAATATACAGACCTCACATCTGGAAAATATAGACTAATAGATTTCTCTCTTCCCTACTAATGATAGACAAAAATGAATAGCAGAAATCGAAAAAGACTAATCCCTTACTTGCCAGTTAATGCACATAAGTATTCAAATGCAGATTTTATCCTAATTTCCCACATAGTAAGACTGAAAGCACAGCCACACACTCTTCAAAAAAGAGCCCATTTGCCAATACAATGACAAATACATAACCCAAGAAAAGAAAGCTCTTTTTTCTTCATCTACTAATGATAGAAAAATGTAGAGCAATACCAAAAAGATGAAGCCTTTACTTCCCATTTATTGCACATAAGGATTCAAATAAGCCAATTGGAGAGTTAATTCCCCATTTCCCACATTGTAAGACTGAAATAAACACAACACTCTTTACAAAGGAGCCATTTGACAAAATAATGACAACCATTATAAATAACCCAAGAAAGTAAAGCTCTTTCTTCATCTACTAAAGATGGAAAAATGTAGAACAATACCAAAAAGATGGAAGTCTTTACTTCCCAACTACTGTGCACAAGGATTCAAATGTAGAGTTTTATAGCCAATTTCCCACATGGTACCATTGAAACACAGAGAAACTCTTCATTTGCCAAAATCCAGTAAAAGAAAGCCATTTCTTGATGTAATTGGTTCTCCCAAAATTGAAAGAATAAGAGAAGAATCACCTCAAGAGAAGCTTGAGCAAGGTCATAAATGGTTGGCCATTTCTGCATCCAACGTTTATAATAGTCCATTACAGTCTGAACCCTAGTTTGCTGCAGCATAATCTCCGATACCCAAACCTCATAAGCTCTTCTCTCCTTTTCACTTTCACTTCTTCTCTTCCTCCATGGAAGATCTCGCTGATTCACATCGTACCAATCAAGCATACCCATTCTGATTTTCTCAGTTTCATTTTCGCTAAAGAGATCCTCTATATCTCCTCCAAGCGGTTCTTCTTCTTCTTCTCTTTTCTTTCGACACTTTCTCATGAGTTTCTCGCCAGGAGCAGAAGATTGCGACATCGTTTTGGTCTTAAAGCTCGAAACTTTGCAATGAGAACTTGGATTTTGTCTCTCTGAAGCGACCGTTGATCTTTCAAATGTAGGGTTTAGAGCCACGCGAAGAAGACAAGCCATTCAATTAGGGAGGAATGGACTTTATTGACACTTTCTTATAGAATTAACGAAATTAGCAATCTTGATATTTATGGGGGATAAACTATGCAAAATAACATAACTTTTGTTGTAAACTGTAATTAATATATTAAAGGACTGGTTGACACACACCATTGAACAGTCTTTCTTTGCCCATACACAAAAACAAAAGAAAGATTTTGGCAATCAAACTCAAAACTGAATGTGGATCCCTGCTACTATCTAAAATGTCTGTACATATTATCTCAAGTCACTTGGATTGTAGAATTTTCCAATGTTATTGGATAATGCATGAACTAAAAAACATTCTTCCTCTATACAATCTTCCTCCTCTATTCTATCGCTGTCCTTGATGTCCAGATGAGAGCTACAACTACTGCTTAGACACTCGCCTACCTGGAATGGATCCAAAAACATTATCAAAGTTCAAGAGACTTGGTCAGCAAATCATTAAGACAATTGGCATATAACATGAAAACTGAAACTTCGAAAACCATCAGTAAGCAAGGCAAGAAACTTGAGTATAGATGATTTTAGTAAATTATGATCATACTTGTATTTCTGGTCCTGCACAACGGTTGATTCCTTTCAGGTTGAGCTTTTTCCACATAGGGACCAATCAAGGTATCCAATTTTACCAGCCAGAGAGCAATCGCAGAAGTTGTCTGAGGCATTGAAGGGAAGCAACATATGATTTCTCCCATTAAAGTCTGCCCTTGATCACTAGAGTGCCATAGCCAATCTTCATTGATTGCCCCAACAAAGTCACCAATCACCTTCAGAAATTGCACAATAATGTTTTATCAATTAAGATGCAGTTAGAGGACAGTCAATTTGAACTAGAATAAGGTGCCACACAGAAAAAGGAGCTTATATAATAGAATGAAACCTGCGTAATTTCAGACACAGTTGAGCTTCGCCTAAGTCTTTTGGCCCATAACCTATGAGCTGACTTTCTCCATGCACCAATCAAGGCATCTTCAGGCATAGCAGACTGCAACATGTTTCAGCACACGCAAAATAACAGAGGCATCTCTTAATACAAACCAAGAAAGTAAAATTTTGAGCACTCAGCAAAAAAAAAGTAAAGCAAAAAGACTATTGACATACCTCAATGGCGTATACTGCAGCCTTAAGTGATTGCAACTGGGAAGATAGAACTTTATGATCCGGAATTGTATCACACTCTTCTTTCCTCCTACATGTGGCTGTATGAATCGCATATCTTTCTTCAAGATCTATATCAACCTCAAACGTGGCATGGCAAATCTTACAGTGCTTCTCATCTCTCCAATACAAATCATGGCAACTCTTACACCTAGTGAGTGAATCAAGGTAGGATCTTCGGCGGTGTTTAACAGCATTGAGATTAAAATTAAAATTAGCCCATATCCATTCATCAAACTCTTGAAGAAGGCTCCACAATAGGCTTTTCTCCCGCTTACTTCCAATCTCAAATACTATTGCCGCATGTTGCGAGGAGAATTGATCATTTGCAATCTCACTAAGACATAGGTTGTTGTCTATATCAGAAACCGGTGAAGAACTATCCTCTCTGACTATGTCTGTGAAATGGGCTGACTCCGACTGGGTCACCTGTCTATTCAGCATGGCTTGACAAAGAAAACTTTCCCGTTTCTCCAACGACTCAATAAGACGAGCTTCCCGTCTGCCCCTATCGTCCAAAACTGACAACAGCGCCCGCAAAGCCTACACCAAGTAAAAAAGAGGAAAAAATCAGGCACAGAATTATACAACTTTCAATACAGGTTTCCATTTCACCAGCACAGTGATTAAGATTTCAAGAAGAGCACAATGACATTACCTCCTTGTTGTTGATAACTTCCCAATGACCATCTTCAGAAGATTCAAAGAACACACACCTATGACCAGGGTCATTTGCATTGCATGGGCCTAAGAAAAGCCAGTACCTGTTGAACCTACGATCAGACCCAAGGTACACAGATTGCATAGGGTGAATATTATTAGCTTTATCTTCAGCCAGCTTTGCAAAGGCAACCACAATTGATGAAGAATCAACTGGATGAGAATCAGACGATTTAGATAGCGCTTTCATTCCATGAAGCTCTCCTCCATGGACCCATGATCCACGTGGATAGCTGTACTGATTAGAGGAAGATCTCTTAATTTTTCCACCAAAACCATGACTATAGATACTAGGGGCATAGTCAACCATAGCTCTCGGTAGATCCTGTGGTGAAAAATAAAAGTTAGGACTATGCACTAGAGATATATAGATAGCTGTAACAAAAAAAGCTTTCTCCAGTAACTGCCAAAAAGAAGTGTCATTTTCTTAAAGTTTCAGAGAAGGGTGTCAAATTTTAAGTCCATATACAGACAAAATCTTAAGTTAAAGAGCCGCCAAAATCACATGGATCAAAAGTCCATCTGCCCAAGCTTTTGTTAGAGATGCAATGATGGAGCGATCTAACACTCAGGTTTTAAAAGTTATTCAGTACCTCAAGACCCAATTGAAATATTTGGTCTAGATAGTATGGGGATTACCTCCATTCTGATAGTGGAACCAGAACTAAGAAGATCAATCAAAGCCACAAAAACATCTAACTTCTCTTCAATGCTTAGGTCTGAATATTCCCCTTCCATTAGCCCCAACAGCCATGGTTCTCCGGGATGGCTTTCATCAATCTCACTACATACTTCCTGCGTTTTACTTTTATGCTTCCGCCTTTTCCTACACTTAACTTTTCGAAGTGCAGGATTTTCTGAAACATGTTCAATTTCATCACCAGAACTAATTGAGCAATCATCAGATTCATCATCAACACTCCCAGAGTTGTCCGAATCAGACTGGCTCTTGTCAGGGTCCTCAGAGAAACAATTAACACGTACACGATATGTTGATTCTGATATCTTTTCGAATAATGTAATATCACTTGCTAGAGTTGAACATATTGAATTCTCTCGTTCTTCCGGCGCAGTTGCAAAATTTAGCACAGCAACCTACAAAACCACACACCATCAGTATATTCCATTAGATATCATCTAGAATTTCAGAAAGCAGCCAAACAGTACAAGTAAATGACCAACCAAATTTAGTCCAAATTTATCACTTTATTTACAAATAGAAGCTGATAATAATTTCACAAAAACTTACCTCTGGAGCATTGGCTAACTCGGATATCTTCAAGCCATTATTGCCTTTCTCGTTAAGCATTCTAAATAATTCACCCTTTAATGTTCCAAGACGAAGGCCATACTTTTTCATGAGTCTCCTTTCCTAAAGAAAGAAGAAAGGTAACATTAACCAACAAGTCATTGGAAAAGAAAACAACGCACTTAACAACACAAACATGTGGATCTCAATAACAAAATAAAATCGAGTAAGAGCCTTCAATTCCCCACATGTAACTGATCTACCTTCAAGAACAAAACAAATACATGCTAGTTGCTGAACATCAATAGTAAAGAAAAGGACAAGAGAATCATCATGGTCTTGAATAATATATAGCCAAGCAGACAATGTTTCAATGGATCAAACGTGTCAGGAAGAGTAGAAATCAGATCAGCACCTTACTTAAATCTTCTGATTGAACAGCACACTTCACTGAACCATAACCAGCGGCAACCAATATCTGGCGCAATATTTCCGTCCATGTAAGAGAATTTAATGAATCCCTCCACATATCAAGAATAAGAATTTGGCTCTCAACCTGAAAAATATCATGGAAAATATCAAAATCTATCCTGCTCTGCTTCATTTTTATGCGTTTATGAAACCAAATTAGAAAAGGAAGCACGCTGAAAGACAGGCCATGGAGACGGGAAGATTTTACCATAAATTATCTAATGTTGATCTTAAAACTCCATTATACTATCAAGTTCAAAAATAGCTCAACATTAGTGCATACCGACTGAAGCAGGGCTAGAAACTTGCATGATATACTCAAGTTTGAAAAAGATCCCCTTTGCAGCTCGGTTTCAACATCAAGCAAAAGCAGCTTCAGCAGGGAAAGATGAATTTTACCAAGGAGCAAGGAATCCTGAGGTTCAAACACAGAAAGAGGAAATACAATATAAATTGTTTGTCAGAAAGGTAGAGCGAGAATGAGAAAGCTATGCGATAGAACAAACTATTTCCTTCCACAATAGAAAATTGTATGAAATTGAGCATTTGTTATCAGAGAAGATCGACCACCTTATCGTGAAATGCCCGCGTGAAGTCATCGAGTGTAAAAGGACATATATCAAGAGTTACTGAATAAGTATAAAGGAAATGGACAACCTGCCAAGAGAGTACTGAGTCACTTCCAAGAAAGTCAGATGAGAGGTAATTTATGAACACACTAAGAAATTCAAGTGCCAATTTTGACAGTTTACAAACCTTAAACAGTTTCTTCACAGACTCTGGGGAAGAATTCCATGGATGCAAACCAAAAGGCACCCTCATCTGAACAGAATTTGGGGGAAACTTGGGCAGTAAATCTAGAAACAACAAAAAACTGTCAGAAGACCGCATGGCACCGGTAACAAAAGAACATGAACGAAGACTCTTTCATGTAACACGGACATCACACACCTTTGCAAAGAAAACAACCATGAGAGCCACTACTAGGATGATGGCATGAACATGCCAAAGGATTTCCTCGCTCCTGTCGCTCACGCATCTCTAATTCTTCGTCATCCACTAGTATCGAAATTGTTTGGCAGGTTTCTTTAAATACCTCCCCGTTCGCGGCAAGCTCACAGTTTTCTTTAAATGCCCTTTGAGTTTCATCTTTGTTTAATTCCGCCTGCAGCAAAGAGTCAAATCTTTGTTTGCATGTGACTATAATGAATCACAAGTTCCAAATAAAAGTCAAGCTACCTCTCTATTTATAGAACGCCTCTTCTTTTCTGTCGACTTCTTCTGCAACAGTTTCTGCTTCTGAAGAAAGAAAATTTCAGTTAGCTAGAAATTTAAGAGAAAAAGGCAAAAGAAAGAAAATGGATCATAATTATGTAAGATAAGGTAGGTAACAAATACCAGTATTGATGCCAATTGTCTTTGCTTTTTCTTTTGATGTGGG